CGCGTGCGTGCGTGCAGTGCGGGCACGCTGGCGTGTGCGCTGGCGTGCGCGCGTGGGCGTGGGCGTGGGCGTGTGGGCGTGCAAGCGTTCTGCTATTTTGTACTCTTCCCTGTTCTGTTGTGCTCTGTTGCGTTACGCGTTACAGTTACAGTTCTGTGCTGCGTTGTGTGTGTACTGCACGTCGTACGCAGTGTTTTGCGTGTGTTTTCTGATTTTCCGTGTGACGTGCGCAGCGCGCGGCATGCTTGGCCTGGGCACGTTGCTCTACGCGCTTCGCTGTTTGTTGCGTTCTGTGCGTTCATTCTGCACGTGTGTGTGTGAGGGGCGCTTCGTCGGTTGCGTCTGCTGTGTGTGTGTGCGGTGTGTGTGTGTGTGTGAGCTTGTGTGTTTTGTGTGTGTGTGTTGTGTGTGTGTGTGTTTGTGGTGGGTGTGTATTTGTGTGTGTTTGGTGTGTTTGTGTGCTTTTATGTGTGTTGTTGTGTGTTTTGTGTGTGTGTGTGTTTTGTGTGTGTGTGTGTCTTTGTGTGTGTGTGTTTTGTGTGTGTCTTGTGTTTGTGTGTGTGTGTTTGTGGTGGGTGTGTGTTTTGTGTGTTTGTGTGTGTGTGTGTTTGTGCTTTATGTGTTCTTTTGTGTTTTGTGTTTTGTGTGTGTCTTTGTGTGTGTTTTGTGTGTGTGTGTGCGAATTGGGTTTGTGTGTGTGTGTGTTTGTGTGTGGGTGTGGGTGTGTGTGTGTGTGGGTGTATGTGTTTTTGTGTGTCTTCTTGTGTGTTTTTGGTGTTTTTGTGTGTTTTGTGTGTGTGGGGGTGTGCATTTTTGTTTGCTTATTGTGTGTGTGTGTGTTTGTGTGTTGTTGTGTCTTTGTGTTTTTGTGTTTGTGTGTTTGTGTGTGTGGTGTTGTGTTGCGTTGTGTTGTGTTTTGTGTTCTGTTGTGTTGTGTTGTGTTGTGTTGTGTTGTGCTGTGTTGTGTTGTGTTGTGTTGCGTTGCGTTGCGTTGCGTTGCGTTGCGTTGCGTTGCGTTGCGTTGCGTTGTGTTGTGTTGTGTTGTGTGTTGTGTTGTGTTGTATTGTGTGTGTGCTTCTGTGTTTGCGTGTTTGTGTGTATTTGTGTATGTGTGGTTGTGTGTGTGTGGGTTTTGTGTGTGTTTTGTGTGTGTGTGTGCGTTTGTGTGTGTCTGTGAGATTTTCTCTGTATGTGTGTGTGTGTGTTTGTTTGTTCGTGTGTTTGTGTGTTTGGGTGTTTGTGTGTTTGTGTATTTGTGTGTTTGTGCGCGTGTGTTTGTGTGTTTGTACTTGTATGTGTGTGTGTGTGTGATGTTGTGGTTGTGGTTGTCGTTGTGTGCTTGCGGTTGTGGTTGTGGGGTTGTGGTTGTGGGGTTGTGGGGTTGTGGGGTTGTGGTTGTGGTGGTGGTGGTGGCTGTGGTTGTGGTTGTGGTTGTGGTTGTGTGTATGTTTTCTAAAGTTACGCATGTGTGTGTGTGTTTGTGCGGTGTAAACGTCTTTCTTTGTGCGTTGGCAATCTGTGTTTTGCTGTTTGATGCGATATCTGCGTGCTTGAGCATTGCCTGATGTCCTCTACAACGTGCTTTGCCCGTTGGGTTGTGCTGTTGCGCTGCTGTGTTGTGGCTTGTTTACAATGTGTAGTGTGTTTGGCTGTGTACGCGTGGTTTGCTTCACAAGTTTTGTTTGTTGCGCTTTGTGCTTGGTTTGATTTTGCCTTGTGCTGTACTGTATCACGTTGTTTTGTGTCTTGTCTTCGTGTGTGTGTGTGTGCCACTGTTCGCACGTTTTGCCGTTGTAAGCTGTGTTGTATCTCGTGCTGCGCTGAGTTGCGGTGAGTTGTTCGGCATTGCGTTGTGTTGCGCAGTAATGCGCTTGTTCTTTTCTGCTGTTCTACGTAGCGTGTGCAAGTGCGTTGCAAGGTGTTGCTTGCTGTTGTATTGTCTTCTGCCGCATTGTGCTGTTCTTGTTGCATTGTGTTGAGTTCTGTTCAGTTGCGCCGAGTTCTATTCTTTGTGTTGAGGGTTGGAGCTTTGCTTGTGCTGTGTTGCGCTGTGTGTTGTGATGCATTGCCGTTTGAATGATTGTCTCGCTGCTGCCTTGCTGTGAGTTGCAGTGCACGGTGTGCTTTCGAATCTAACGTCATTTCTGGACGTTTTGCAATTGGACTAGGAATCGGCTTTACCTTTGGCAACCACAAAGATAAATCAAGTACTCACAGCAGGATGTGAAAAACAAGTCATCGTGTTGTGAGTGTGTTTGACCAAGCTGGCTATCAAAGAGCGACATCTCCTGAAAGAGCTGCTGCTCTTGAGTCATCAGGGTCTTCTGCATAGCGGCCCCACTGGCGCTACATTCCGTGCCCGGTCCGGTGAGCAAGGTCCTCTGCGCTGTTTGGGAGAAAGGTCGGTAGCTCGTCTGGAAGCGACCGGGTTTCGGCGAGCTTTCGCATGCGATCTCGTTTTTGAGGGTATGAAGCTGAGCAACTTGAGAGATGACTGTCGGAGCAGGATAAAATCCAAGAACACGAAAAGACAGGCGCACATAGACTTGAATCTGCGAATCTGTACACCTGCTTCCAGTGCCACATGTGCATCACAAAGCTGAAAGGCAGTCAACAGCAGGCCACTCTCAAAAAGCTGCTTACCTTCCTTTTCGCTGCCGTTTCAGCAGCATGGGCTCTCTCTGCAATTCTGCAGATGAGCAACCGTGACTATGTACTTGTTCAGGGTTCCATTTCTGACCGCCCCAGGTACACGATATACTGCCCACGTACACTGCACCCCAAAGGTGGCTGATGTCCCCAGAAGGGGTTCTCGGAACAAGTCTATCTTAATCGGGTCCAAAAATGGAACCCTGCACGTTCCTTCATTCTTTGCTCATGAGGCTCTCTGCCCGGGTCCGCACCGGCGGCCTCTTTGCCGGTGGCTCCTTGCGGAGGGATGTCCCCGTTGGTCCCGTTGGTTCCGTTGGTCCCGCTGGTCCGAGACGCCTTCAAACAGGCGGGACAAACAGCTGTGTATACGTCGTATAATACATATACATATGTTACATATATACATATGGCACCCCGCCTCCCAAAACGTAGGCTGCTCATTCGTAGTAAAGTGGAAAATACAAAAACCTACAAAATGAATATGGTTAAATTCCACAAATGCACAAGAAAAGTGGAAAAAACCCTGCACCTAACGTGTATGGTTCTGGGAAAATGCACAAAGACCATGCAAAAACGACTACGTGTCTATCTATGGCAGCTGTTCTGTTCTACTTTTCTCCAGTAAAACTCAAGAAGTTAGACTTCTGGCCCCATGAAAAGTGAAGCACAAAATGTTGCTTTACTTCTGGGAGCTGTACTTTCTCGATTTTCCGCAGTAGAAGTGCGGAAAAGTAAAATGTTCGGAGCCATGAAAAGTAAAAAGTAAAGCAGCTAAAAAAAAACAGAGTCTTACTCCAGGGAGTGTATCCTTTCTTCCCCTTCCCCAGTAGACGTAGAAAAAGTGAAACTCCCAAGAGTAAAAGCGTTGCTTCTTCGTGCAGCTTCATTTGTTTGTGTCTCCCCAGCAAAGGAAAAGCACTCCCCAAAGTAAAACATATCTCTTGCTTCATGCAGTTGTTGTTACTTTGCAACGGCAAAAGCTGCTGCTGAGGAAAAGAAACAACAAAGTACAACAAGTAAAATCTAGTCCCATAAAAGGTAATAACAGTGATAAACGGTAAATATCCCACAAGTATGCTTTTTTGCTTCAGGTAGTTTTGATTCCTTTTCATGGGTTCGAAAGTTTTGCGCTGACTTTTCTGCTTTCACTTGCCTAAAGCAAACAATGGTTAAATGTTGGGAGCCTTAACATGTTCCATGTGCAGGCTTACTGGGGTCTGTCTTGCATCAGTTGACTCGGCATTGTAGACTCTGAGAGGGATTTGCTGTGTTAAGCCTAGGTTATCCGCCTCGTTTTGCCAGTAAAGTGAAAAACTGCAAAAACCGAGAATGGAAAAGGAGCACGATTCTACTGCAGAAAGCTGCAGCATTTTAGTGCGACTAACAAAAATTTAAAAAAAAAAAAAGAACAAAAGAAAAACACGAGTAAACACAAAAATGGCTGGTCCCACCAAAAGTAAAAATTAGTATAACTGAAAAAATAGTAAAACTTGCTTTACTTCAGAGAGGTGTCCTTTTTCACTTTCCTCGGTATACCTAAACGCGTGAAACTCCCAAAGTATAGCCGCGTTTTACTGCAGGCAGTTTTACTTGCTTACGCCAGTATGTTTGATTTTACTTATTAAAAAAATAAGAAAAACAAAAACAAAGCAAACAAAAAAACTATGTATAACGGGTGAACCCGTAATAGAAGAAAGCAAACTCGCTAAAAGGAACATTGGAAATGTTACTTGGGAAACAACATACAAAGGGGAAGGCAAACTGCCTGATGCTACAATGATAGCAGTAATAATAATAATAATAGTGTTTTAGAGTTTACTGTTTTACGTTTACTCAAGATAACCCAAATAAGGGAAAATATCCTAGAATGAAGCAAGATTTACTTTTGGCAGTTGCACCATTTCCCTGATGGTCTCCAACAGGTATCTCATCGTAGCCAGCATTGATGCCAACACGTCTGCAAACTCTGCGGGTTTCAGAAATAATGGCCACGATTGAAGGTTCATTGTCTGCTCTGCAAAAATCATCTGTGTGATCATACCACAAATCTCGTAAGCTCTGTGCTCATGTACGCACGCCACTGATTACCCTTCGAAGGTGTAACAATGTAATGCTGAAACTTGACATGTCGCCAGTTTGGGCTCAAAGTAAAACAGCAAGACTCCCTAAAGTAAAACAACGCTCAATTTTGGGAGTTTTACGTTTTGCTTTCAGCCTGAAACCTCGTGAGCACCTAGGTTTGAGGAGGATCGCATATCTAAGTTTTACTTGACAAACCCCCAAGTGGATATTGGTTGCTTGGAGATGTCAGTCCACCAACCATGCTTGGGGGGCTCTTGGTGCCAAACGAAGCAACAGCTGTCACGAACCGGCTAGATCCCACCTCGCCAAGGCCCAGGCGGCCGTTGCGAGTCAACTGTGCATGGCATTCCCCTGAGGATGAACATTGACCCTTGCCCACATAAGAACGTACGCTGACCGACCCCCAAATGCGTCTCGGGCAGGCCCGTCCCCAACCCCTCAACCCAAATGCACCTCGCTTGGGCAGTTCAATGAATACAAACTTAGCAATTCAACGCCTTGCTTGGGTCCTCCTCCTCGCTGTCACTGACGTTCAGCTCGCCCAAAATGTTCTTCACCTGAAATGGATCGATTCCTATCTCAAGCATCAGCATGGCCCGATGGCTCGCTGAACCACGAGAAGGGGAGGTCCGTATTCACCCGGAGGTCACAGCTGTGCTTTTCTGAGGAAGTGCTGCGGGAGTTAGGGCACAAGCACCTCCCTTCGTTCTTTTGAGGCTCATTTTGGCTCGAAACCTGCATGTGTCTGCGGGAACCATTGTTAATGCTGGTTTTGTGCGTTTTGGGGGCTCCTCGGGGGATTCCCCCCTGGCACCCCAGCGCTTGCATGTCCGTGGTTAGGGGTCGGGGGCACAGGGCACCAAGCCGTAGTATCCAGTGCCATTTGGAGGTGAAATGTGTGGAAGGACGCCCTTTCGGATGCTGCTCGAAGGCTCAATCATCTTGTCAGTTGCTCATATAGGTTTGTCTCAAAATGGCGGGACCACATGTTTGAGCGCTCTCCTTTTGGTTACCAACTCTACAGAATGGCTGCCCACAAAAATACAAGCACATTGGCAAAATGGGGCTGTCCCGGATTGCCAAACAATGGCGTCTTCTCCAGCCAACCGCTTTCAAAGGGAGTCCAAATAAGGTCAGCAATTTGACAAGGACACCACCTGGATTCAACAAGTTTTAGTTGGGTGAGACTAAATGGGTTCTAGCAAATCATGGTTGAACCGGTAAAGTGTCGCTGAACTTGAGAATGTCCACGAGCCGTGAAGGTCCTGATCTGTGATCTGCCAAATGTGTTGTTTTCCTTCAAGCTTCCTTCAGGCTCCAGCCAAGAGGGAGGTTCTTCTCGATTTGTTGCGGGATATCTCTGATGAGGTTGCATGTAGTGCATTTGTTGGGTTTGTGGAAACCTTTAGATTGGATTAGAGCTGCGAACGCTTATTTGTGTATATCTTAGAATGCGGGGAGCCCACCTAATTCGGGATGGCCAAACACAGGAAACCCCCATTTCGCCGTCGTCCAGCGAGGCCAGCGAATCCAGCGAGTCCAGCGAGGCCAGCGAATCCAGCCTCCGAAGAGGTGGACTTCCGCCGTGCGGCGCCGCCGCCGTGGGAGCTCTCGGCATCCGACTCCTGCACATGACACGTGCGAGAGATGCGTCTGGGGGTCTTTGCACAGGAAAGAAAGGGTCCAACCAGTTGTTTGCTTTCGGTTGGGCTCCCTCTGAAACCATCAACACAAAGGGCACTTGCAACTGACCTGAGCAATCGCTGAGAAGGCAAACAAAGCCCAGAAGCTATGGGTGGCAGAAGCATCCAGCTCCTCAGATTCGCTCTCCTGTCATGCAAGAAGCCAGGGGTTGGGAAGGTGATACTACATGCACACAAGCCCATCTGCCTCAGAGTCTTCTGATTCTTCCTCGTCCTCAGAATCGAGATCAGTCGCTCGCAAAGGGTCGCTTCAACTTTAACTGTCCTTTTCAGGTTAGTCGGTGAGAATCGCTGGACTCCACAGGCTGGTTCTTAAGCATTTACCAATTAATAAAACCCCGACGCACGCCCAGCTATCGTCACTACTGTTTTGCAGGCCTCGTCTGAGTCCGCTCGGATCACCTCCGTCTCTGCTCTTTGTGGCGCCTGGCAAATCCCCACTTCTAATTTTCTAACCACCCCTTCGTTTGTCGACCCCCTCCCGCCGGTTGAGTTGACCCCCTTTTCAACCTGTGACCTGTCAGTGTCAAGCACATCTCAAAGGTGGCAAAGCCTGTGCCGGCGTCTTCTCTTCATGCGCTGGACCCGTAGAGACTGGCGACGCTGGCGATGCTGGCCTGGAAAATCATAATGTTCCCTTATTTCCAAATTCGGGAACAATTCGCACTGAGCTCGCCACCTGGGTGCAGCAGCTGTCGGCTCTGGCACTCTTGTCACCGGCTCTGACGGAGCCGCCACAGGCGCTGGGGTGGGCGCAGGGGTGGGCGCAGGGGTGGGCGCAGGGGTGGGCGCAGGGGTGGGCACGGGCGGTGCGGCCGCGGGGGCGGGTGTGGGGGCAGGCAGCTCTGGGGGCGGTGTGAGCGAAATTCGAGGTGCAGCCTGCGAGGAGCGGTGACATTTAGACTCTGGCTTGCGCAGCAGGCACGTGGGTCTGTCTCAAAATGAAAAGCGCAACCGCTGGGAAAGCAACCAACAAGGGGAGCCTAATTTATTGAGAAACACCATTGTCTATGCCAACAATTGTCCTCATGCTGGAGAGTGGCCTTCGCCTCTGCCGCCAACTTGCTTTGGCCTTGCCAGAGCGCAGAGCGAGGCTCGAGCGTCTATCAGGGAAAGCCTCGACTGCAATAGACCCCTGGGAAGCGCCCGAAACCGCGTGCTCGAACGCTTGGCGGCCTGCGGCCTCTCTGGAGGGCCGCCGCGAAGCCGAAGCTGTCGCAGACGGCCGCGCGGCGCTGGCCGGCTGCTCGACCTGAGTCACGCCCAAAAGCAAATTTGTTGAAACCAATTGAGTTTGTCAAACTTTTTTGGACCGCAGACCGAACAAAAAACTGTGAAGTTGATGCACCGCGTGCCATTTGCACGCATTCCTCCCTGATTATTTTCACTGCGCGCTCCACGCCTGCAAAAACATGGAACTTCTTCTTCGGAACGAACGTCCGCTATGAGGGTGGGACGGGGGCGGCAATTCGTCCACCCCCCCTCACCAGAGATGCTTTGTTTAGCAAGAGCTCTGGCATCCTTTGAGATTTCTCAGTAATGTTGATACAAACAGCTCGAAGCCGACCAGGCACCAATCCCACCTACTGTGGAGAATTCCAGTCAAAAAGGGAAGTGCGCCGTGCCCTGCTGGTTGCAGACGTGGTCGGTCTGAGCGGTTCTTTTATTTCTATTAACAAAGCGAAACCCCGGAACCCCACCCCACCCCCCCCCGCACTGTGGCAGGGTTGAGCCAATCCCCTGTTGAATGTTCGAAATCCCAATTTAAACAGGGGCAGTCCAACCCTGAAAGGGGGTTGTCAACAAAGCGGCTCTAAACAAATCAACACATTTCAAAACAAACCGATGCCATCATTCAGATCTTCACTTGATGGTGCCGTTCACAACACAAGCAGCATGGTGTCCTCTAGAGGCTCTGCAATTCGCTGGCACATCGAGTGGCTCCCGTCTTCGGCTTCTCCACGCTCCTAGGCGGAGTTCTCCCGGGTGTGGGGGCGGCAGGATCCTGCCAAAAGGGCTTGCCCCAAGCCCACAGATGGATTTTGGGAAGTCTCAAAACGGGTTTCCTGAAATGGGCAGTTTTTCTTGAGTTCCCCCCTTGCAAACCAACTGGAGGCGAACCCCAGTGTGTTGTGGCACCATCACACGCTCCTGATACCTCAACACAAACTGGTCTTCTCAGCCTTCTTCGCAAGGTATGTTTGGTGTTGTTTGGTGTGATGGTTGGAGGCGTCCCCAAATGGTCGGTACAAATTAGCTTGATGCTCCAGGTGCGAAAAACGACCAAAGGGGACTGTCGCTATTGGTTGTGAGTCAAACTTGCTTGGATTCTGTTGGAACGGAACGGCTTAAAACGGGGAAACAAAACAAAACCGTTGCCAAACCATTTGGCGGCTCCATCTCGAGTTCGAGTTGGACACATTTTCATTGGGCCCTATGTTGTAACGCAGAACCCAACCAAACACAGATTCGAAAGGGAAGCCCATCTTGGGGCTCAACATGGCAAGCGGGAACCAAACACATTCCGGGCGTGCCTCGAACTGGAACTCCTCATCCGAGGAGTTTGTAGCGTCATGGAGCGCCTGGCATCTTGCACACGGCTCTCCAAAAAGGAACTTGCGGTGGATGGGGTTCAAAAAATTGAAAGAAAGGAAATTAAGTTTGAAAACATGAAATTCAACATGAGGGCCATCTGGCCATCTGTTCAACTACTGGGCTGCCAGTTTCCTACGTCACTTCACTTACGAGACTCACTCAATATCTGTAGCCGGGCACCGGGAGACCAATGCAGGCTCAGAATCCGGCCTGCGACTTCTGACGCCTGAGCATTTCCCTCAAACACAGCTGGCAGAGGCTCTTTATTATTTGCACGGTGAGATCTACACTGTACATGCAAGCACAAAAAGGTCTCCACTTTAATGAAAGCAGGAACCGGCTTGACAGAACCCGGTTAGGGCCCTCTGATCCCTATCCAGGCTGTGTTTGAAAGGTCTGTGTTTGAAAGGTTTGTTGCCATTCTCGGGATAGTTTCAAAAGCAATCCAAAGGAAGTCTCCTCCATTTTGGGGGTGGCCGCATTTCGATGCATGCCCCTTCCCACTCAGGAGATCAAACTTCAAGCAGCTCAGCGCCGGACCGTTCTGGGGTCTTCGAAGGCGTCGGGAGCTCCACGAAAGGCTGCCGTGGCTGCGTCACCACCGCGTGATCCCTCGGCCTCAAACTCACCCACCCACCCGCACCCTCCACAAACACACACTTAGACTCCCGAAAAAAAGAGTGCTAATCTTCGAGTTGGATCGTGCTCAGCTTGGTAGATTTCGAGTACAACGGCTGAGCCGGCACAAATTATAACTTCTCTCTAGCTCGAGACCACTACATCCTCAACAAGAAGCACAAACAGCGAGAGAACCAAAGGGTTTCAGCAACCTCACGGATGGCAGGTACTCTTGTCACACCAAGTCACACCCACATTCATGTGAGGTGTGTGTCCGGCATGGAACTCAACACACCACCTACCCAGAAAGTCACCCCAACTTTTTGGTTGGTTGGTTGGTTGGTTGGCTGGTTCGTGGCCAGCCCATGTTAGCGAGGCCAGGCCCGCGCTTCCCCCCCGGCCAAAGCTTGGGGCAAGCCGGCCGGAAACCCCAACTTTTTGCCCCCATGGAACGCAAGCAAAAAATGAACCTTTTCGTTTGACCAGTTAATGAAGAGTTATCATTCCCCCATCAGAACGCAAGTCACACCATAGCGAAACCTGAGGCTTGCATCATGTGCTTGTTGTAAGTCAGGCACCTCCAACACCATGGAACGCAATAGGATAGCTGATGTATGCGCAAGGATGCGCTGGTGATGGTTGTGGTGGTGCTGCACAGGCCAAACTTGTTTTTACACACGCCATGGCATGGTTGTGAACCTTAGCTTTCGGTTCGACTCTGTACTAGAGACCCAAGCTTCACGAGCAGCCCTGCTGCAAAGAAGCTTGCTGCAAATCACCTTCTTTGTGAATTCGACACGCAGGGGATGTGTCTTGGAAACGGCCGGGCGCACTGTGCGGTGCAAGAAAAACTCGACCAGTGGCCGCAAGGCAGCGCAGCGAGACTTCCGAAACATTGCGAGCATGTAGTCCGCGCAGCCGGAATCAGTGTTCAAATCGTGTTCATCCTCAGAGCAGGCGTCATCACACGCCATGGGCTGCACCGCCGCTAGCCGCGCCGCCGCTGGCTGCGCCGCCGCTGCCACTGGCTCTGCGGCAGCGGCGCCTGCAAGCAGCTCTGGCCCTCCTTCTGCGCTTGCAGGCACCGCCGCCGCAGCACCGCCAGCTGCCTTCCTCTTCTTCAGGTCTTTCACCAAGTCATCCAACTGCAACATCTGGCGCTTCCAACTTTCGCCAGCCCTTGCGGCGCCCTGCGCAAAGCAATTCTGCTTTTTCTTTGTCAAAGGCATCGTTCTGTTCTCCGCAGTGTGGGCAGAATTTGTGATCCAGTCCCAGCCACTGACCGCAAGCATGCTTTTGCGACCAGCGGTCATGCTGCTGACCATTGCTAGCTAGAGCTCTTGTGCTTCCAGATGTTGCAGAAGGAGCCCCATCTCTCAAGCTCTTGAAGGGCTCCTCCTTGCGCTCAACAAACAGCTTGTCGTGGTCAAACTGGTCCCTGAACGCAGGCCGAGCTTGCTCGCGCCACATCTGGGCACAAGGCCTCATCACAGATATCACGGGCAGCCTTGAGAGCCACGAACAAAGTCAGGGGGCGCCCTCGGTGGCTCCAAGCTTGTTTAAACTCACGCCACAGACGCGCCATGGTCTCGTGGGCGTTCATGTCCAATGCCATCAATGCCTTGGTAGTCCACGCCGCAAGGAAAAACGGGCGAATACCATGTGAGATGCAAACTGAAAGCATCGCAGGGCTCAGGTGCAGAAAGCTGCCACCCCCGCTGTCTAGGAAAAGCACCACCGGCTTGCCGCACGGTATGAACTCACGACAAGGCTTGGCCAAAGACTCCAGCACAAAGTTGCTGAAGATTTTGGAGGTAGTCGAGCCACTTTCCCGAACCATGGAATGCAGCTCATCTACTTGCGCGCGTGCGACTTGGGCAAGCCCGAGTACGTCCCCGAGGCGTCCCTCGGAGATATCACCAGCACACATCCGGTGTCTTCGTTGTTGCAAAAGAAACGGTGGCGTCAGGGTGGATCTGACGCTGGGCACACACAGACACACCCACACAAACAAACAAACAAACAAACAAACAAACAAACAAACTAACTAATTAACAAACACCGCTGCTTTGGAATTTGGTTTTTGAAGTTTGGGCCTGCAAAGTAACCTCGTGTCCATGGTTTCCCCAACCCCCCACCCCAACCCTCGCATTCCTCAGAGTGAGCTTGCGTTGAGCATACAAATCGCAGTTGCCAACTTTGACGGCTCGAAATCATTGTCACACTCACTGCCAAGCAGCACGTCAGCCTCTGCGCTTTGCTTTGGAGGACTCAGGGACAGCATGCGGGGCAAACAGAAGCCAAACATCAATAGCAGGCAGCGAAACAACGTCAATGCTTGGATGTGTGTGTGTGTCTGGTTCTCTCTGTCAGCGTTGGGTTGATCAATGATTGCCCCTTTGAAAAAAAAAACAAAAAAAAAAACTTATGGCTAAATGATCAAACCCTTTTCAAAGTGGAGATGGTGACAGCTGAAGCCACAACTCAGGTGCGGGTCCAACCTGCCAAGGAAAACCTGTCCTCGGGCTGGGCTCGGCCAAGAAGAGGCCGCTGTGCTCTTTGTCATCTGGAGAAGGATTTTGCATGGGTGCGTCATGTTTGGAGTGGCACCCCTTCTAAGTCTCTAAGTCTGTTTCAAAGCGACTCTTTGTACGTCTTAAGCTCTTTACCCAAACTCTCTACGCAGACTATTCACACCGAGACTTTACCCACCCTACTCATGCCCAGACTATCGTGCCCACCGAAGAACCCTTCGCGATGCTTTGGGGAAAATTCACAAAAATCTCCTGTATGGCAGAAGCTTCCATTTGCTTTTCCAAGTTTCCAAGGAGTTGACCAGCTTTTTTGCTTTGCAGCTTCGGATCTGAAGTGCAAGGACGACCTTCCAAAGCTTGGCGAGGCCAGGGTGAGACTTCAGTGACCAAGGGCAGTCCCACAACCAATCTCAAATTTTCTCACCATGGCAGCATGCTCTTCGTCTACCGACACGATGAGGCCCGAGAAAATCTGTCTGCGTAGGCTTTCGTAGTGCTATGCAAAACGAATCAAGTAGCTCTAATTGTCAGGAGCATTGTCCTGAATGCACATCTGGAAGCTCACGCCATGCTCAGGAGAGCCAGGAGCACAGGCACCCCTGCCATGGCATGGACCGCGGCGCTCGGCGGCTCCTCTGGGGCAGCAGTAGTGGTGGTGGGCGGCATGGTGGTGGGCGGCATGGTCGTGGGCGGCATGGTGGTGGGCGGCATGGTGGTAGGCTCTGCCGTTGAGAACATCGTTGTGGCAGTCGTGGTCATCATGGTGCTGTTCATGAAGGTCGTGGTCTCCGTCATCGCAGTGGTGGTGTTGGAACCGCTCTGGATGACGAAGCTGCTGAGGATGCGGCCATCATCGGGACGGACGTTCTCCGATGACCACAGGCTCCTGTCATTGATGGCTGCGCGCAGCTCATCCACTGTGCCTACAACCGGGCCCGTGTAGAAGGCGTTGTCGGACTCCGGCAGGACCACCGCAGAAACGCCTTCCTCCAGACCAGAAAGCATGCGGCTGGGAGAGGACAGGTCCTCCATGTGCACCGCGCACAGAAGTGTAGGTGCCTCCGGAGAGCCCGTGTAGGCCACAAGGTGGTCACCAGCGATGGAGCCTCCTTCCCCTTGGAAGTCGTTGCTCTTCAGCACAGTGCCGGCCGCCACCTGGCCCTTGTGGCTCTTCGTGACGGAGCCCACCGCGTTCAGGGAACCATCTGCCGCCAAGCCCCGGTCAGTCACGAAGACCTGGTCCTCCAGGTCCTTGAGCAGCAGCAGTCCAAACTGGCTCGGCTCATCCGCGAAGACCGCCACAAAGGCACAGTCTCCGGGGCTGGCGGCCTTCACAGCTCCCAGGCACATCAGGATGGAAATCAGCTTCATGGCCATTTCACTTAGATTCTGGTATGCTAGTTTGCTCCTTGCTTTGCCCTTGAGCCAACAAGTTGCTCGACGTTGACAGATCTCACAAATGCCATGGCCAGGGAATCTGCATGCACGATGTCAATGTCAATCAGTCCCAACAGGTCATTTGGTGCCCGACCAAGAAAACCGCACGCCTTCTCCCAGCCAGAGGGGCTGGTACAACCCCACGTCGATGCCTGGCAGGAACCCAGCACAAAAACAAAGGCCAAACACGCACGGCAGCTCCCAAAGCCCCAACTCCCACCCAGCCCAGGCCTGAAAAGTTCAGCTGTCTCACCGGGCAGTTCTCCCGGTTCGGGTGAAGCGTCTGACACGGACAGCTATACCAAGGTCTGAAACTGCCTTCGAGGGCACTGCTCGTGAAGCTTGCGCGTCGCGGAACAAAACTCTGCAGCATATGAGGTCCGATGCGTAGCATATTTCCAGACTCCCTCCCCCCAGCCTCCCGGGCAGGAGTTCGCTTCACCTACCAAGCCGCCAAGAAACTGGGTGCAAGTCTTTCCCAAGCACAAAGCGATGCAAGCCTTGGCCATGGCCTTCTGCTTGGGCAGCACTCGCCTGGCCTTTGCCTTTGCTTTCGCCTCATTCGCGTCCTGGGAATCACGGGGCGTGTGGACGCTGCGCTGCAGCGAGCGCGGCAGGGCGGGGCTGTGCTCCTCTGCTGGGGGATCTTCCGCATCTGCCAAGGACGGGGACACGATGGAGGGCATGCCCACGCTGCAGAGGCCCCAGGAGGCACCCAAGCAAACGGAGCCGAAGCTGTCCAAGCCCGACAAGCGGCTAACCGCAGCCCACCGCAGCTGCGTGGTGGACAGCAAGCTGTGCAAATGATGCGGAGTGAGGCTGCCGCTTTGGGGCGGTGTCACCACCACCGGCAACGCTGCAGACTGAGCCCCCAATCGCACCTCGACGTCCTCTGGCCGCAGGCCCTGGCCCAACTCCTCCGCGAGATCCTGCTGGATGGCCTGCCGGAAGGCGGCCGCCAGGCCGCTCTGAGCGCAGAGCCTTGCCATGTCCACGTTCTGCGCCAACAGCAGCAGACTCACTGCCTTCGGCGCCGAAGGCGCCGCATTCGGCTCCGGCGGCTCCGGCGGCTCAGGGGACGGAGGGGACGGGGAGAAGGATAGCGACGTGGGCTCTGGGGACGCCCGCGCCACGGGCTCCACGTGATGCTCGGGCGCCGGTGCCAACGCCACTGGCTCTTGGAGGCATGAGCCACCGGAGGGCGGCTGGGGCCTGGCACGCATGCGCTATTGACGCTATAGCCGCTATAGCTATACACAACAATAATATGCTTTCCCAGCTTCACTGAGCCCAGGACAGGGCAGCATCCTGGACTTCAAACAGCACGCTGCATTGAGAAAATGTAATGGTCCGATGGCATGGTCAACCGAACGCACCGGCCTCCTGGAGCGGAGGTCCGCAGCCAAAAGCTGCGTGAAGTTGTTGACTTGGTGCTGTCGCGTGAGGCACGCGAGCGCCTGGGCAGCCAAAAATGGGATGAGGGAACCAGGAAGATGGATGTTGGCCACTCAAAACCAGGAATGTAAATCTCCTGCTACATATTCATGGGGCTGATCGCTTTGAAGCATGCGTCAACCTGCATGCTACGAGCCGTGGATGGCTGACTTTGGACAAGACCAGCTACAAATCATTTTGGTCCGAAACCAGCTCAAATGAGTCCTGACCCCAGCAAAACCGGCCGGTTTCCCTGTGACATGGTTCCCAGTTACCACCAACCCGGAAAAGTGCTGCTTTCACAACACGAGAAGCTTGCGACTTCGTTTGCTTCCCTCGGGTTGACCCTTGGTCACAAACTGCCAGGTGCCTTCGTGGCACGCATGCGTCAGCCAACACCCGCAGCCCCCAAGCTACACCGTTAAGTTGAACCAACTGTCAGGCATGGAGATCTTGGATATGGGACCCTGAGCAAACGCTTCTTTTTCTCGCCTCGCCATGTTGAGAATAGCGATGCTCGGCTTATGGAAGATGTGTGACTCCTCGCCCTCACCCCGACAACTCTGCTTGAGGGGCTCGTGAAATCGATCCTTCGCTTCGATGAAGTATTGCAGGCGTCTGGCTCGACATGTTGGAACGTTCGGCACCTCACTCGCCAAAGATTGCGGCCCGCGATTTGGGCGTCTGCCCATAGCGCTTGACCCAAATCTCATCGATGAACCTCAGATCCCAAACGGCCCCACCCTCTGCACCAAAAAAGACTGGGTGCTGATATTCAGCTTTTCTCGATTGGACCTGCACAAAGCCATGTTGTAGCTGACGACATTGATATGTTGTGCTCGAAGCCTAATCTTTGAAGGAAATCCTACAGGCCCCCATGATCCAACCGCAGTGGCAAGGGCGTGGAGACTTGAAGTAAGTGTAGGGTGAAACAGGGTGGTCCTTTTGAGAGACAAGTCCCGACCCAGGAATCAAATCTTCCAGATACGGTAATCTCAAAAGGACCACCCCCAATATGAAAGGGGAAGCCCCCGCCAACAAAACAAACCAACAGCGGAAAACATGTTGCAAAATGGCGTCAAAACCTGGTCCCACAACGCAGCACCTGATTTGGAAACCCTCCCCACACCCCGGCACCCCCCGGCACCCTCCTGTCAACTTTCAAAAACACAGCACGCTGTCTTCTTGGCCGGCAGCCACTGCAGGTCCGCATCAGTGCCAGCCTCCTGAGACCCAAAACGAACTCAGATTTCCCCAACGGGGCAGCCCGGCCCCAAACCTTGCGGAACTAACAGGAACACTATTGAATGACAAAGGGGTGCAAAAAGTTGAGGCACTGGGAAGGAAACCCGCTGAAACAAAGCGGGCAAAACGACCCCCCCTTTTTGGATGCCATGTTTGGTGAGTCCAACTTCAAGTTCGGAACCTGACTGACGGCGCAACAGAACTGCAGTCCTGGATCATTCGCAGCCCGTTGTCCATGACACGCAGGGTGGTCCTGGACACATGGGCTCCATTCGCCAGTATGGGCACCTCTCTCCATCGTCTCTGCCTCACAACGTTTGCTCTCGCGCCCGTCCTCAGCGTGCTCTTGCCCCCGAGATTCCCGTCAATGCGGGGATCATAGCGGTCCTGCGGCCATGGTCAATGCACCCAACGGCATTCTTCCCCACGTCACCCAACCCGCCCCTCCTTGATGCTGGCCCAGTCCTGCGCGCGACACTTTGCAAAACCCACCCCCTCAAAACTCGAATCCAAGTCCAGGCTGGCCAAAGAACCCCTGCAGCGAATCAAATTGTTGCTAGTGAGGGGGGAGTGGTTGTTTTCCGCAAGCTAAACGCTTGAAGGTCACAACGAAGACCATTCAACGCAAAAGACCGAGGACAAACATCCAGGCAAAGGGTATGGAGGTATAGGGACAAAAAGGTATCAAGCAACCCAATTTCCAGGCGATGGTGTTCGAGCTTTCGAGACCCCTAAAAAAAGGAGAGCGCGAGGAAACCAAACAATTTTACGGGGGTGTTTTCTACCTCAAGAAACACCTGGCATTTGGAGGGTCGGTCACAGGGTCAGTCATAACTGGAGGTCTCAGAAGGTCCAAGAACTCAGCATTTAAGAGGAAGGTCTCCCTTCCCGTTCCTGTTCTTATCCAACGGCACTCGGCTGGCCTGGGCCGGGATCTGGCGCAAGCAGTCCGGCACCGCCGACACCATATAGGACAAGTTCCCCAGTGAGGTGAGCCGGACCTTGCGGAAAAAACGTCAGACCTGCCGACTTGGCTCCTGAAAGTTCCATCAGTTTTGGCCCTGCAGTTTCCCTACTGTCAGGCCCGCCAAGGGGGCACTGCACAATTTGTGGTGAGTTTTTTGGGCCAGGGCCAATAACCCCCCAACAGAAACGGCGTGGGCTCAAGCTGAAAAGATACACAGCAGTATACCTATTTTTCTCTTTCTCTTAACCAGCCCCCAAAATAGAAGAAGCCACCTCAAGCAGATTGACTGGCCGAAACTTCGTGTTATGCTTCCCAGAGACGGCTCAATTGATCACGCCCACCCTGTGTTGCTCTGCTTTGGGGGAGAGAGGCACACACACCCTGACTCAAAACCAATGACTGGTTGACAAAGGGAACATCCTTCCCGCCCCCAAGTCGGTCAGACCGGAGTTCTTTGTATGTCCCGTTTAAATATCAACACAGGACGCCCTGGGAGTGCAGTTTTCTTGAACATTGCTTGCAACGGTCTTGGCAGAAAAGCAGGCAAACTCGAGAAAACCGAAAAAACATTACACAAAACAACACAAAACTATGTCAGCTGTCTTGGCTTGGGTGGGGGGGCATAATACTGTTTCTTTGTATCGGTTCTCTCCTGGGTTTTTGCATCTTTTGAAAAGGTGTGAAAAACCTCAAGAAAACCAGACTAGAAACAGACACTATGTCAGCTGTCACGAATTGAGAGTCACAATGTTGTTGTTGCTTTTCTCAAACGGTTTGCATGGTTTGATGCAAGGCCCCATTTCCGGCAGTCTGCTGTGTTCAAGAGCGTTTGCATCCAAGCCCTGGTACAGCAAGCTAGAGATGGTGTCCTCTGACTGGATTATGTCCTTCTTATGTATTTCTTACTTTCAGTGAGAAATGAAGTAGAACTTGATAAAGAGATTAAGTAGAAATCATAAGGAAAGACATCAGAGGTCTGATTTGTAAAGACAGATCTACTGGAAAGGATATCCTGTGCAACTAGATTGAAATAGAATCATTATGATGTCGAGTCTAATTATATCATAGAAAGTATTTTTGGAATCGGTCCGTATTAAGATCTATATATGTTCAGTTGGAATTTTGGTAGTTAAAGATATGATGTATAATGCACCTAGCACTACCATGGCCACAAAACACCATAAAAATCACAACTTTTTGTAGCGATGTGCGTACACAGTTCACATCTCCACCAACGGCAGCTCTATAAAGTTCAATTTAAGTTTGAACAGGACTTTAATGGGACTCAAGAAGCTACTGAAAATTATCTCTTTAATTTACAATTCAGATTGAATTCCTGTCTTAATAGAACTTTGCAATTCGATTGAGGCAAAAAGCCCGGTGTTCACTCCTTTATCCTACACTCAAATTGAATTCCAAGCGGGGAAGCAGGGAAGGAAAGAGCAAGAAAAGGCAAGGCAGGAGCCAAAGAATAGCAGCTGGCAGCATAGCAGGCAGCATAGCAGGTAGGGCTGAAAAAACACGATGCACAAGGGCCTGGCGGCCTGGAGGGCAACCAGTGAAACCTCGGCCTTGAAACCGCTTCACTTGCGAATTGCGCGGAACTTGCGTGAAATCTTACGAGTCACGGCAAAAAACGTGTATGCCTTTCGGAGCAACCAACAACCCCCCAAATATTTCAATCGCACTGGCACTGATGCTTCGAGCCACCAACCTGTTCGGCTTGAGCAAATCTGTGAACACTGCAGTTTTGACTTGCGCGGCCGCATGCTTGTTCAATCTTGACATGCCGAATTCCAAGTAAGTATGCCCCGTTTTTGTTTTGACTCAATTGGAGTTTCAACATAATTTGATAAGGAAACAAACCAATCACAATTTCTACGTAAAAATAGAATTCAGGTTAGAACTTGTTCTATCTTAAATTAGCACTTACAGGAGTTGCTTTCCGAACGACTGTTTTTTTACAATTCAGTTCACAAATAAACAAATTCTCCAAACATAGTTCAACTCAAATGTCCATTCAACATGTGGAAAAAACGCCCGCTCAACTTTTTTTGAATCTGCAAGTCTATCTGTGGGGTAGCCAGATTCCAATGCTTCAGTCAGCTTTACATGTAAAAAAAGCGCACTCCCACAGCGTCAAGAAACGGGAAGCTCGATCAACATGGATACAAAAGGCAATGCTGAAGGGGGACCTCAGGGTGTGAAAACAGCGCCCCTCAAAATGGTTGTTTCCCTTTTAGTTTCGTTTGAAACTAAGGTGAAAAGGGAACCCTCAACAAACCACACCCACAAAAGCAAACGCTGTGTGCCACTTGAAGCCCCCGGCCATCCTTTCCAGTGTGTCAACGTCCAAGGCTGGACCGCCAGTTTGTCGGTACCTGTCAGGTGACGTGGCTCAGAGCCGGGCGGCTTCCAAATGGGTCAGGGGATATTTCCTAAAATGCAGAATCCCTCTTCGTGATGTTTCAAGGGATTCCAAAAGATTGTACTTGTATGTTCCGGCCGTAGTGGGATCCTTTGTAGGACAGTTTGAAAGAGGTGCCTCAATTGGCAGGGCTGCTAGCTTCGGCACAGCCATATGGTTGGCGCCGTGCCCTTCCAGCTGAGCCATTCTTCTTCTTGTGCCCCTGAACATATCTGGCAAGTAAACCCCGTGTACAGTACACGTGCAGTGAGTTGGCGATGTGGGGATCCCACAAGATCCCTGCACAACAATTGTCAAAAACAATGAATCTTGACCCTTGCCAAAGCAAAAATGAAGACCCTCAAATCTTATGCGGGCCCTGCCAGCAACCCCTCGGTTGCGAGGCCGCACGAATCCGCGAAGCTCTTGCAGAAGTGCTTCAAATTCTCCTGCACCCGTGATCGACGTATGGAAGAGTTCCCGAGCAAATCAAAAAATTGAGGCACCTCCTTTTCGGATCAGCCTTGCGATTCCATGTCACCTTGCAAGGGGAATAGCATAACTTCGTCAGCGGAACAGGCCTTATGTTCTCAAAGAATTGCTGAACTACAAATGGGTGTGGCTTTCCACTTCTGTAGGATCCTTGCATAGTTTTGGGTCTCAGACCTGATACCAAAAAATGAGACCGGGGGTTCTTGCCCTCAGCTGTGCGCCCACAAAGCCACGGTTGAACTCCCCGCCCTTTCGGAAAGCCTGCCACACAAATGGCAACCATCCAAAACCATCTGCAAGCAGAAGCCATGAGGAATACATTTAGCCCATCCCCGGATATCTCCCCTCCCCGCCCATGTCAGCTCCCTTGCCGACACCCCGTTTCAGGTCCCTTGGCTCCGAGCGGGGCGTCCCCGCCTGCAAGGGCTCGAACTCGGAACAGTTCAGGTACCACCAAACCTGCGAGTCGAGCCCCAAAAGCAGATTGCTTTGGAAACCAAACCGCGGAAAATGGACAGGAAGAACTCAAAAAGCATTTGATTATGGAACCGTTTTCGGAGTTGTCGTAAAGGGCAACAAATTGGCAAACTACTTCTTGGGGGACAACCTTTTTTGACCTTTGGGAACATGATTGTTCCCACAAACTAGCAAGTTGAACTTTGCGCACGGGGTCCAAAGTCATCTCCGGAAACTCGCGCTTCAAATCAGTGACAAAACGGGACTTCTGGAAGGAAGCCCGTTTTTGGCTTCCCATCCCCAGGGAGTTGTCCCCTCCAATTTTCGACGCATAGATACGTGTCTACGCGCGGGAACGCCCTAAATGGCTGGCTTCCCCCTACTACCAGCCCCGAAAAGGGTCCTCTCCGAACAACACACGCCCAAATATATATATATATATGTGTGTGTGTGTGTGTTTCTCAAATAGCGCGTCCCCCTTTTGAATGGCTTTGGAAGGGACCCAAAAAGGAGACCAACCGAGTTTGCAGGCCCATTTTGAGACAAGCCAATTTCGGTCAGCGCCTTGTGGCCCAGACAGCTGCGCCCGAAGCCACCCCAGTCCAGGACCCCACAGCACAGCTTCCCCGCCTGCCGAAATCGGGGCATGGCGGGTGCTCTCCATTGGCCCCAGCTTACTGTAGATTGTTGTCCGTGCTTAACTCGTTCAGAAGGAAACCAACAGACTGAACAGGTTGTAACCGCTGCCAGAATGCTTGTTGGCACTTGCGCAAATGAGGAGGAAACCAAAGCAAGCCCCACCCATCTTTCTCGGGGCGTAGGAGAGTCCTAATGTCTTGTCTAACCAAGAGAGGAGAGACATTTAAAACGTGGTCCAATGGAAAGGGTCAAAACTTCTGGTGGACGGCTGCCATGGGCTCAAAAGGAAACCAAAAGGGAAGCAAACAACTTGAAAGGTCAGGTTTCAACCGCAAGACCATTGTCAGGCACCATCATAGGTGATATCATTTTCCACTCAAGGCTTCTGCAAGCCAATTCAGAAGACAAGAAAGGGAGACTCAAAGCAAACTTCCTAATTACTTGTTTGCTGATTGCTGTTCGACACAAGAAACAGGCAAGCCAAGCATTTTGAAGGCCTGGGCAATTTCAGGAAACTCTGGTGCTCCCGGCGAAACTCAGACGTGGGCCCGACTGCGCGGTTGAGCGAATGCAACTGGTTACAAGTGCGTTCTCATTCCCCCCCAAAAAAAGGCTGGAAAAGGTAGTGCGAAGGGTTGAGTGGAAATAATGCTCAGGGAGCCTTCTTCGCTAACAAATATTGTCTCTCGTCCAACCTCCCCCGCAATCTGGGTTGGCAAGGCACCCATGCCTCGTCCCGCCAATAGTAGGCATTGTCCACGTTCAGGTTTGCATGGGACAAGGCGATGTAATCCACATCCTCCGAAACCGCCATGGCTTAGCACGCCATGGAAAATAATTAGGTTCACGCTCTCCTCGTGCTTCCAGAAGTCAATCTCGTTTGTGTACGCCATAAAGGTCATCATGATGTTGGTGAACTTGTCAATAAACCTCAACAGGAAATCCCCCAAGTGCCCCTTACCTTGCCAAACCCCCCAACCCGCCCGACGCTGCAATCGGCACTTGATCCGGGCAGGCCGAGCCCCGTGCTCTGGCGTCTTGGCGTAGCTGGGGAAGAACACCGCAGCGGTCTCCGAGAAGAATCTGATCGCTTGGGTCAGCTTGGCGGTGGTGCCCTCACGCGGAGCTTCATGTTCCAAGAGCCACTCCAAATGAACCAAACATTCCGAATTCCAGTGCCAAGATGCCAAGAACCATAAAAAGAAACTCTTTTTGCAAAGCAAAACATGCAAAACGCGC